GGGGCCGGAGGTTCCCCACCCCTGCTTTACGGTGACGGACCTTGGGACCGGAGACGGGAGAACAGGTGGAGGTGAGTGTTTTTATATTGGCTTGTGTTATGATGTTAACTACTGCAGGGATGATATGACAAATGTATAACAGAAATGTATATTGCTTAGTCTAAACATCTAATTAATTACTAGAAGCGCTAATCACACTCTGTTCACCCATAGGTTGGCATGCCAATCCAGCCCCCCGACATTAACCTGTTAAGCCCTGAGCCTGTTTTTCAGGTTTCAGGCTTGAAAATGACATGCCCAGTAGGGCTGTACCCAAATATCCGAATATTCGGTCGTTGGAGTACTATTCGGTTTTCAATTTCGTTATTCGGATTTGAATTTATTGAAATCTCCAATATCAACGTAAGAGCTTGTGCCTCTTCGGGGGGTGCTAACACTTAACCATAAACGTTATCGTTTACTTTCTCCGTCTTTATATGTAGATATTACCGTTAATCCCCGCTCTTTTTCTCCGTCACGTTGTTTCCATAGAAACAACAACTTCCTGTCAACAGCGCTAACTCTCCTTCAAAATAAAAGCATGTCCATACAAAATAGGAAGCCAAGCCAAATTACACTTAAGGCCTATATACAACTGCAACGAAAGTAACAAACACAATGCAATATCCTTTTCAATTTCAAAGAACACAAATTGGGTTATATACATTAAAGGGGACCTATCATGCAAAATGCACTTTTGTACGTCTTTTATACATGAATATGTGTCCCCGGTGTTCCAGGGAACTCACCAAGTGTCAGAAAACACAACCCTCTCTATTTTCCTCCATACCCAAATCTCTAAAAAAGGGGCTGCAACGGATCTGATCAAAACTGATCCAGATTTGAACACTGTCCTGACGTCAGGACAGTGGCGCTACGGCTATTGGGCCAACTCCACCAATCAGGAGGAGACAGCCACGGCCATTGCCGTTCGAAAGCGCTGGAGACGCTGTAGTACATATGCCAGGCCTGTAAGTGGCGCTGTAGTCTGCCACAAAAGCAGTGAAGAAGACTTGGTTACCATGGTTACCCTTCTGTTTATTCTCCGCTGTGGCTTTTTTTTCTCCCTCCCCGAGGCAAGCGTTTGCTCCTGCTGCAATGCAATCCCTCCCCGTCGAGGCAAGCACTGTAATTCTCTCCGTTTAGTCCACCAGCAGATGACAAACACCCACCTCTCCGCCTCTTCCAAGGAACGAGGGGACCGTGCGGCAGAGTTTCAGTTTCAGTTTGTTTCGCCGGTCAAGATGTCCGTTAAAGTTTAAATCTTCCGGACAAAATTAGAAAAGTGGTCTTCTTTGTTATTTATTGAGCTTTAAAACAAATGAATAACGACTCTATATAATAAAACACGGAGATCTCTTTTTCTCCCCCTCTTCTGACAGCCCAGCAGCTGATCAGAGCACGGCTCCCCTCTCCTGCAGGGGGGCGTGGTCATAGATATATATAAACTAGGGCTGTCAGTCGATTAAAATATTTAATCGCGATTAATCGCATGATTGTCCATAGTTAATCGCGATTAATCGCAAATTAATCGCACATTTTTTATCTGTTCTAAATGTACCTTAGAGGGATATCTTTCAAGTTTTTAATACTCTTATCAACATATGAGTGGACAAATATGCTTTATATGTTTGTTTATTATCATTTGAACAATGACAAATATTCTCATGAATATTAAACACAACAACCTCTGAACATTACAAATATTCGCCTCAATTCAACCTGGAACCTCTCTCATACAATAATACTGTGTGTGTGTGTGTGTGTGTGTGTGTGTGTGTGTGTGTGTGTGTGTGTGTGTGTGTGTGTGTGTGTGTGTGTGTGTGTGTGTGTGTGTGTGTGTGTGTGTGTGTGTGTGTGTGTGTGTGTGTGGTGTGTGTGTGTGTGTGTGTGTGTGTGTGTGTGGAGACACTGTGATGAATCGTTGGAGCTATGTGCAGCTCAAGGCATATATGCTCGAATGGGAGCTGCCTGGACGCTGCAATCATGTTGCGCGTACGATCCGTGCTGAGTGTGCTGACTTTTCGTACAATGTCCCACTGTCTGGCTACCTGCATAAAGTCAAGTGCTCGGCGCAGTTGTCGGCGAAATGTCATTGAAACAGCTCCTTAAATCCGTTAGCGCAGCTAGCTAGCACCAGATGCTAACAACAACAACACGTAAGGTGTGCCTCGCTCGCGCGAGTCGCGCCACACATACACACTCCCTCCCGGTCCTCCCGATGGCCAGTCCGGGCCTGCCGGTGAGCGTGGAAGTGTGGTCTGCCACAAGCGGGCGGCAGGAGCGAGGCTGTCAGCATCAGCTTGTCGATGGTATTTTACACTCGATGCGCTCTGAAACTACGGCGGCCGAGGACAAAAAATACACATGCGTTAATCGCGTTAAAATAATTAGTGGCGTTAATTTTTTTTTGCGTTAACGCGTTATTAACGCGTTAACTTGACAGCCCTAATATAAACACTAGATGACTCACCCGCGCTGCTGGCCAATGGAGACCGACGTTGTCACATGGCCGCCATCTTGCTACAGGCAGTACTCTCATTCATAACATTATGGTTTACTATTTAAATAACCATAGCTTGCTCAATTTTCAACCAATTTTCAAACGGTTTGGTTTTTTATAAACATCAAAGATGTAGTTATGATACTGCATACTTATAATCATGGACTTTCATATGAAAATAACATTAAGCAGATAAAGCAATAGCTATACACACACACAAGGTATTTATATTAAATATTTGCCGGTGTATATATTTCCATTTATTTTATTATATTGTTAATATTTAAAATAAATTATAAAATTAAAATATATTTATATTTTATATATAAAAATCGGTCTCATGTTACCACTCTGTAAGCCAAGAGTTGTTAATTTAGCAATGCCTTAGCTTGAAGAACAGGGACACAACTAATGACAATAGCATATGGTGTTATATTATTTAGATATTCACACCTTTATCAGAAGAACCAAACCAACATAAAATGAGCCCACAGACAGGCCAGTTCTGTCTCATTTATCACAATTATTTTTGTCATGAGATCTTCATATCGTCCTAGTTTTGTATTTAGTTTCTAGATTTGTAAACAAATCCAGAACCTTTGAAATACGTTACCACTTCACAGAACGGTGCGCCGAGTTCTTGTAGTCGAAAAAAGCCCAAGAATAATATAAACTGTACCCTGTGTCCTTTTGTGTCCTTCTGTAGTCCATTTACTGTTGTTTGTCTTACCCCGGCTGATATCTCACTAAATCCAGTTTGAATTGTTCCCTATATTGCCCCTATGCCCTGTAAGGTGTCCTTGGGTGTTATGAAAGGCGGCCCCCCAAAATAAATGTATTATTATTAAGAAGAACTTGGTGTGGTTTCTATTCTCCTAAAAAAATGTTACGTTCTCCAACAGAAAACACAACTCAGCGTACTTTTAAGAAATTGATCTTAATAGGCTTGTCCCCTTATAAGGCAGAAATATCTTTTGAGGCTCTGGACAAAAATGGCTATTTTGATTGTAAAGGTTGCCAACCCCTGGGTGTAGTTTCAATGTTTGCACATGTTTATTCAAGTGTATGAGTGACATAGAGCAAGTGAGATGGCCAGTGGTTCTCAAACTTTTTACACAGAGTACCACCTCAAATGATACTGGGCTCTCCTAGTAACACCATCATAGACCTTCCTGGGTACCACCGAGATAAAGGATTTAATATGACAAGCCATATGATGCGCTCATTTGTTAGTGACATTCCACATGCAAATAAGATAAGATAAGATGGTACTTTATTGATCCCAATTTGGGAAAACATTTTTAGTTACAGCAGCATAAGGGACAAGGCATTTTACAATAAATTAGAAATAAGCAAGAAAAATAAAGAAAATAAAGAAAGAGGAAAATAATATACATGTTGAGCTTGGCAGGATATTATATATATCTAATATACATATACATAAATATAAGGCATATGGAATATTAATGTTAAAGGTGCGGTAGGTAATTTTGGAGAAACCAGCTCGAGTGCGCTAGAATTTGAAAATACACAGCCGGAGAAAATCTGCCACTTCCTCACAGAGCCCCTCCTCCAACACACACGAACGCGCACATGACCAATGAGGGCACGAGATAAGTTTGTGCACAGATGGAAGGCTGACAGGCAGGTAGGCCATCCAGTTATTTTAGCTGGGCCGGCTAAAATGATTGGTCGTGCTTTTTACAGTACTACAGCTTCCACAGATGAAATTGTTTTATGGATTTGTTGTCAAAGCACTTCAGATATTCATTGCTATCGGGATGTTAAGAGCATTCCATGGAATATAACAAAAAGTGTATCTCGAGCCGGTTTCTCAAACTTACCTACCCCACCTTTAAATATTGAACAGATTATATATGTGTAAAATGTACAACGTGGTTATATTCAAGAGAAACTATGGAGCAGAGAGTTATCTTCCAGCCAGAGGTGATTTGTTGTACAGAGTTATGGCAGTGGAGCTGCAGCAGTCTGTTGGAGAAGGAGCTGCAGCAGTCTGTTGGAGAAGGAGCTCCGTTGACTGTCCAGCTGCAGGTGGAGAGGATGGGTGGGGTTATCCATGATGGACAACAGCCTGTTCAGTGTCCTCCTCTCCACCACAGCTTCAAAGGGGTCCAGCTTGATGCCGATGACTGACCCAGCTTTCCTGATCAGTTTATTGATCCTGCTGGTGTCACCGGCTCTGATGCTGCCCCCCCAGCAGACCGCAGCAAAGAAGAGTGCACTAGCCACCACAGACTGATAGAAGATCTCCAGCATCTTGCTGCACACGTGTAAGGATCTCAGCTTCCTCAGAAAATAGAGTCGGCTCATCCCCTTCTTGTGCACAGCGTCAGTGTTGATCCTCCAGTTCAGCCCATTGTCTAAATGCACTCCCAGGTACTTGTAGACCTCCACAACAGCCACATCCTCTCCCAGAATGCACAGGGGCAGAGGAGATGTCCTCACCCTCCTGAAATCAATGACCATCTCTCTGGTCTTGGCCACATTCAGAATACTCACAACATTAGGCTGAGGTTCATCTTCCGCTCTTCTTGAAGTGGTTGTGCTTCTTGTTGCTTCCGGCTAAAATAAACATAATTTAAGACATTTTGAGTGTTTAAAATGTGCTGTAATACACAACACATTATTTATTCCTAAACTTGCAGAAAGAAAAACTAAAGTGTGACATTTAATCACATATTTATATATCAATCTTATACACCTTGAATTCTTGTTGGCCAATGATACACATACCCTTTGAAGATGAGCTGGGAAGTTGAATACTGTTGGCACAACACCATCTTTAAGCCGGACAGTCTGCCCCGTCCTGTCAAAGTCCTCACAACTGAAGTGCTCACTGCAGAGCAGTGTCCTGCCTTCTTAGGGCAGCTTCCCACTGCCTCCTCCTCTCTCCGGTTTTGGGAAACCTTAAAAACATGAGAAAGGTAGCCAGATATATCAATTATTGTCAACATTTTCCTCCCTTCTTTCCTTTAACATTAAGGGTAAGGACAAAAATACACACCGAAATTATCATATTTTTGGGGTAATTGTATGTATGTATGTATACTTTAAGAATAAGACAACCACACTAAGAGTTATAAAAAAGGTGTCCAAAAGAAACATTAAATAATTGTGTAAAGAAATGGTAGCAACATATTCTAAAGAGGCTGGGTCAACAACAATCTTGCAATACTATTATCTCACATAGCCCCACTGATCCTGTGTAGCAGGACTTGTAATGTACATACATCCACTAAGTAATTAACGATTATCCTAATTATAGTCATAATATTGTCATATCTTACACGTGAAAGGTGATTCCACGGGTTCTTGTTTGGTGATTAGAGCATCTGTAGGCTGCATTAAAGTCCGGCATAGTCAGGTACTTCTGTAAACACAAAGCCAGCAATTTCCTGTATCATAATGTATCTAAATGTCAGATGTTTTTAACAAGCCAAACCACTTGGAAGAAATCATGTGTAACTTAAGTTATGTTGAAAAGAAAGAGCAGTTCTGCCTCTCCCACTGGTGTAAAGTTGCTGGGTCAACTTTGTAATACTAGGTCTCACTCACAGCCTCTTGTTATTAGCCAGCTAATAAATACAACCACACATACACAAAGAAAAGCTGCAATTTCAACATGTCCAAGCATCCTGTATCATAGCCATGCTAATAATGTTTATAATAAACCAAATCGTTTGTAAATCAGTCAAGATTTCAGCGAGTTAAGAGTATTTTTGTGCAGATCACTCACCTTACAACAGCTACCATAGCGCGAACCAGAGTAGCTGTTGACTGTAGCAAGATGGCGGCCAGTGAGCTACGCTGGAAAATCTCCCATGAGCTATCTAGTGTTTATATATATCTATGGGCGTGGTCAGCAGAATCAGACCCGTAGACAGCAAACTGCATGATCTGTTTGGTATTTTGAAAACAGAAACGTATAAATATACCTTATATAGGTATGGCCCTACAATATATCATTTAAATATAGCATGATAGGTTTCCTTTAACAAATAACTATAAAACAACAATACTGTGGAATAACAACATGAATGCCTTGAATATTCGCTGCTGATTACTACCGAATATCCGGAGCCCGAAAAATGGTATTCGGGACAGCCCTAATGCCCAGAACAAATGACTATATCTTCACTTCTAAAAGGGGTAAATGAATAATCTTTTTTCTCAAAGCAATGATACACCTGTGAGTTGGATGTAGAAAAGTCAGAATCAATATAGATGTTTTTATTTTAACACTAGAACCGCCAACGGGTACATATTACCCGTAGCTGTTTCTTGATTGTATGTAACTTTTTTTCAATAAAATATTCAAGTCTCCCAGTCTGTGACTTTTCCTGAAAGTGTGTTATGTAGCACCCTCTGTTGTTAACATTTTTCAATATGAAGTCAGATTGAAAATATTGCCCAAAGAATTGCCATTATACCCACCCGGGTAATATTTACCTTATAGAAAATGCAGTGATTCTCGCGCTATTGATCTTGCGCGTAAGTATAAACATGACGTGTTGCTATAGCAACGCCTGTTGTTTACTGCGGTTCCTCATAGATAGATAGAGAGATAGAGAGAGAGAGAGAGATAGATAGATAGATAGTTATAGATAGAGAGAGAGAGAGACACTTTTAGCGATATTTTATACTTCATGCTATCTGCACAAACTAGATATCATATGAAAGCTGAGAGTCCACAGATTATATTGGTATAAGTTTTCACTCACTGTTCAATAAATAAAAGAACATTGTAGCCTACCTTGAAATTCAATACATTCTAATAGCGGGTACTTTTTAGCCGTTGGCAGTTTTAGGTATACAGAGACCCCTGGCGGTTCTAGTGTTAAAGTAAATTCAGATTGAACATAGTAAAAACATTTAAATTATAGTTTCCGTCCCAAAAAAAACCATTACTTATAGTGAAAACCACCCTTGAATGATGGGATAGAAGACAAAAAGATTTAGGAAACCAAACTATAACATATAATAAGTACCCCATCGGGGTGGATGACGCCGTCATCTACCTGCTGCAGAGGTCCCTCTCCCACCTAGAGAAGGCTGGGGGCACTGTGAAGATCATGTTCTTTGATTTCTCCAGTGCCTTCAACACCATCCAGCCCCCGCTCCTGGGGGACAATCTGCAGCTCTCGGGGGTGGATCACCACCTCACAAACCACCCACAGTACGTGAGGACCAGGGAGTGTCAATCAGACACCATCATCAGCAGTACGGGGGCCCCCCAGGGGACGGTGCTGGCATCGTTTCTCTTCACCCACAACACTACAACCTGTCACCTGCAGAAGTTCTCTGACGACTCCGCCATCGTTGGCCTCCTCTCCAACGAGGACGACAGGGAGTACAGGGAGCTGACGCAGGACTTCACCCTCTGGTGCCAGAGGAACCACCTCCAGCTCAACGCAACGAAGACCAAGGAACAGCTGGTGGATTTCAGACGGCGCCAACACTCCCCCCCGACACCAGTGAACATCCAGGGAGCGGACATTGAGATTGTGAAATCTTACAAATACCTGGGTGTTCATCTGAACAATAAAATGGACTGGACTGATAATTCTGCTGCTCTGTACAAGAAGGGACAGAGCAGACTCTTTCTGCTGAGGAGACTGAGGTCTTTCGGGGTGCAGGGGGCACTCCTTCAGACTTTTTACGACTCTGTTGTGGCATCAGCCATTTTCTATGGTGTGGCCTGCTCGGGTAGCAGCATCTCGGCTGATGACAGGAAGAGACTGAACAGACTGGTAAGGAAGGCCAGCTCTGTCCTGGGGAGTCCTCTGGACACTGTGGAGGTGGTGGGAGACAGGAGAATGGCAGCCAAGCTGTCCTCCCTGCTGGACAATATGTCCCACCCCCTCCAGGACACCCTGTCCTCACTGTGCAGCTCCTTCAGCGACAGGCTGCTGCACCCCAGCTGTCTCACAGAGAGATACCGCAGGCCCTTCCTTCCTGCAGCGGTCAGACTATACAACCAGCACAGCCCGTAGTAGACCCCCCCTCCCCTACACACACCACAACACAGACTATCACCCCTTGCTGCTAAATACCAATCAACTATGTGCTATATGTGCAATATATACATTATATACATATGCCATTAATAACTGTGCAACATATACCTGGCTTTTTTTTTTATTATATTTTTATTATATCATAACTTAGTATTTTTTTAACATAGGTAACATTAAGCTGTCTGTGGCTCTTTCCTGCTGTAACGATGCAAATGTCCCCTCTGTGGGACTAATAAAGGTATTCTGATTCTGATTCTGATGCCGCCGTGCATATGTCCTCCACACTCACGCCGTTAAATAAGGCTGTTGACACAGCCATAGCTCGTGTAGAGTGTGCACGGTCCCCCGTGGGGAAGGCTCTGCCCGCCTGTCCGTAGGCATGTGCAATGCACTCGCAGAGCCAGCCTGCCAGGCGTTTCTTGGACAGAGCTTTTCCAGTTACCCCACCCCCGAAGCACACAAACAGCTGTTCCGTGTGTCTAAGGGCAGCCGTGCGCTCCACATAATATGCCAGAGCACGCACCGGGCAGAGGAGATGTAATTTAGCCTCCCTCGCCCCACTATGGGGGGGAAGATTAAAACCCCCCAACTGAATAGCACTCGACCTGAACACACTCCTTAGGCTCTTGGGCACAAAGGAGGGGTTCGGTCTGAGTGTCGCCCCGCTCTGGTCACCCCGGATCATTAAACAACTCGGGTGCACTGATAAAGCGGTTAAGGCAAGTAGCAATGCTGTCTTCCGCGACAGTGCTTTCAGGGAGGAGAGCTCCAGAGGCTCAAATGGTTTTGTGACCAGAGCCTCGAGCACCAGCAGTAGGTCCCACTGCGGGGCGGAGGCGCGCACTACTGGGCGCAGCCTCCTGACCCCCCGCTAAAAACCGCAACAGTGGCTGAGAAAAGGCTGACCTGCCGTCAAATCCTTCATGGCAGGACGAGATGGCTGCTGCATACACTCTCACTGTGGGATGAGCAAGCCCTCTGTCCACCAATAACTGTAAGCACTTAAGCACTCCCCACTGACTAAACCCAGATATTCACACCCGCCAGAACCAGGCTGCCTTTGACAGGTCTGTCCAGTGGGGTCGGGTGAGGTATGCCCGCAGACTCAGGCCCTCCTCCCTTTCCACCTTGAGGGACCTCCTAACCAGGGGGTCCCCAACGGAGGAGGGCCCCCCGGCGACCTCGTTCACCCCCTCTGACTTTCCTCCTCTTCTTCCTCCTCTTCATCCACCAGCAGCTAATCTACCCCTCCACAATTATTACTCTGCTCACCCCCATCCTCATCCCTCTTCTCCCCTCTCTCCCCCCTCCTTCCCCTTCTGCTCCAGTTCCTATTCCCTCAACTCACCCTTCTAACCCCTTCCCTCGCCTAATCCTAACCTCGTCCCAAGCCCCAAACCCAACCTCACTCTCCCTCCTGTCTCATCTCCCTCTGACCCTCACCTCCCTCTCTTTCCTCCTCCTCCCCCCATTACCTCACTCCCCACCTGGCCCAAATACAAACCTCCCACTAACCCCTGGGCACCTGGCTCCCCCACACGCCCGGAACCTCACACACATCCCAGAACTTTCAAAAAACTGCAGGTATGGTCGTTGAAGTTGCTGAAGAGAACCCTCATTATCGGGGACTCTAATCTCTCCCGCATCCCCCCCTTTATAGACCCCCACCTTCAGATAGATAGTTTTCCGGGGGCTAAATTCCATCACATAACCTCGATTTTCCATAAACTTCCCCCATGTCACAACACCTCACAAGTTATAATATCAGTAGGACTCAATAATGGACTCTCAGATACTGCACCCTCATCTTCCCTTAAACAGTTGCAAGCCATGTGGAAACAAAGTACTCTCTGCTTTCCAAACGCCACCATTTACATCCCCATCATAAACTTTTCCAACAGTCTGAACATCCACCAACAGACTGCACTCACCACACTCAACAACACCATAGCTTCCAAATACAACTTCATACCAGAAATAAACCCACTACTCTTCCAGGTCACCTCACATGACAACATACACTGGACCATGCAGACGGCCGAGATGTTACTCAAGTACTGGAAGCAGCATTTAAACTCCTGAACGGGGATCATAATTGCATTACAACTCCCCACCGCTCAAATATAACCAACCTCTCTGCCGTTTTCTCCCCCACAGCTGCACAGCTGGAACTACTGGAAAAAGGCTTATCATTCATTCCAACACCCAAACTCCCCACCCGACCGGAGATCAGGGCGGACCTCCACGTCTTCCACAGGCGGATTAAGATAATGGACCACTTCCTGGGGAGCCAGGGGCGGGAGCCTGTTCTGTTCACCGGACCGTCCACCTGGGAACCACACACGGCAACATCAA